GTTCAGCCTTTAGGCCATATTTATGGCGAGTCTATATTGCGGCCCCTGACAAAAGCCAGAGCAGGGCTTCAAATAACGAAAAATTTCGTCCTTTCTGTTACTCGATTAAAAGGGACGAGAAGTAAGTTTGCCATTACACAATGTGCCCACCGCCCTTTTAAGGGCGAACGGATAAGAAACATCCTGGTTTGAATTAATTGCTGATAAGGCGTCAACCAATACGTCACATACTTTTATTGGGTCAAAGTTTGTATCCATGGTCACCCCTTTTAAAGTGGCCCAGGTTTGTCGCAGTGTCATGCTTGCATCTATTTTTACCTGCCAATGACAGAAGCAGCTAAAACATACCGCCAAGTTAGCCAACCCTCACTACCACACCTAGTCTAGTCGTTGTGGCCTACTTATTGTGGGCTTTTTCTCATACGTTTGGTTCTGTGTTTTAGGAAGGGCGGCAGTGCCATTGGAAAAGGTAAAACTAAAATTAAGTTGAGTAAGTTGTATATGTTATCCACATTGCTTCATTATGCACTGTTTTTTTTTTTTTTTAGTGAATTGTCTAAAATAAGTAGATATTATATAACAATTTATTGGTCCTGAAATTATAATTATAACTGTGGAAGACTTTTTTTTTAATGCGGGCTGGTCTTGCTACTTGCTAGTCGCACTCGCCAACGCCATGGGCTGTGAGTCCCATGGCTCCTCATAGCGCAATGTAACACTATCGCCCGGAAAGACGCCAATCAATCAGTGAGATAATTATCTGTAAATTACATTTATTTTAAGATGTAAGTAGCTTACACCTCATGTCACTTGTAAAAATGTATGTATTATTAATAGTAATATCTTTACTAGCTACAGGGTTACATGAGTCGAAGCAGAAGGAAAAGGGGTGGGGGCAGTGTTGCCACTTTGGATCTTTTATATCCAAATTTAGATCTTTTGCATTGCATTTAGATACCGTTTTTCACGTTTAGATTGTAAATGTTTTTCTAGATTCTTTTCATATGGAGTTAGATATTTTATAGATTTGTTTTCTTTCATTGTCAATTTAATAATTACTGTGTAAAATATTTACTACAATATTTTTGCTTTGGTCTGGCACGTACATTGTGACAACTGCAATTACTTGAACTTTGGAGCTATTTGGCTCCTAAGCCACACCATGGATATTAAATCGAATCAAAAATTGATGATTTCAAAACAAAAGGACTGTTAACAGAGAATGAAGAGAACAACTTAAGAAAACGCTGTCAAGATTTCCTTAGCAATTGAAGCAGAGACTTCCTGAAAATGTAGATGTTTTGAAAAAGATTTCACTTTTTTCTGTGAGCAACATACTTCAGCCAATAAAGGACATACCTAAATTTTGTAAAGTTATGAAATTTTTAAGGGCTACTGATAATAGTTTCGCGGAAGCAGAATATCAGTTAACCAAAATAAAGTTAGCTGAATGGACAAACAAAACAGAAACTAAAGCGTTTTGAAGTGAAGTGAGACAATTTAAAGATGCCTCATCAAACAGTCCATTCTGTAAGCTCTTTAAAGTGCCATGTCTGCCATGATACTACCCCACTCAAATGCTGATGTAGAAAGAGTTTTCAGTGCTAGGAATTATATCAAATCTAACATAAAAAACAGGATGAAATTTGACCTCTTAAATGCTATCGTGCCATTAAAATTCGGCATGATGAGACTAGAGAAATAAGCCGACTGTTCCACTTATAAAGAAATTTGAACAGCTAAAGCATACCAGGGTCATTTTGGATCTGAAGCTTCAACTTCATTATCCAAGCTAAGTTTATCCTGTGGATCTTGTGAGGCAGACATCAGTGAAGGTGAGGACATGATTATGTAGGGTAAGTCATAACAAAAGCTATGTAATTTTTGACTTTTTCAATTTGGATGTTTTTTCTAGATCTTTTCCACACATATTTAGATCTTTTTAGATATTTTTTGACACCGTTTTGGATATTTTTTGTCAAAGAAAAGTGGCAACACTGGGTGGGGGGTTAGTGCAGTTCTATTGAGGTCGGCGTTTGTGGCTTATGCCTTGGGAATTCGGTACTCTCATGTTCGATTCTAGGTGCATTCGATCTGACAGCCGACTACTTTGCGTTGATTTCCTCAGTGAAATCCAGGAATGCCTACGGTGTAGTAGGCCGTTGCAAACTCTCTAGTAACAATTTGAAATTAAAAACAGAAACAAAAATTCAAGTCTCTTTCATTATTGCTTGACACCTAGGAACAACGATGTGTGTGTTGCGTTAACAAGAAAGGATGCCCTCTCACATTCAGCATACAACAGTTTATAATTAGAGACATATAAACTGTCATTCAAATTCTATTTGATAATTGCTGTTTAAAAAACAGTATTTAATGTCTGCATTTTCAGACATTTTGAATACAGCCTTAGGCATTGCAAATGCATTTAGTATTTTCAAAGTGCCAGCTACAGGCAGTTTGGCAGCAGACAATTGATTGTGACAATTGTTTTGAGCTAAGATTTGGAAAGCAATGGAAAACTCCCTCAAACATAACAATAGTCTAGTACAAATGAACAACCCCAAACTGCTGGAAGTGGTTATGCATTATTCGTTATAGGATACACAATTAACTTTTGAGATATACTGAATAGTCTTAGTCAAATGGTACTGTTTGGTCTAAGCCAGAGTTTTGCATTCTACTTCTGTGTTTATCATCCAAATAGGACATCCTCATTACACTAAAAATGAAAAATGTAATATCAACCACAACTGTCACTGTGTATCTAGCCTTGTGTGTAAACATATGTGTTCTGGCACACACAAAAAAGGGTGGGGGAAACAACCAGAGTCTATTCTATAAAAATTATGAAATTTGAGAAATTTGAGTACTATTTGATTTTTTACCCAATCTCGCCTGAGTGGTGGCGGTGGAATCAGAAAGTGCGCAGTAATAATAAAAACTATTATTATTATAAATTATGTTTTGAAGTGCTCACAGAAGCCAGCTGCAGGCCTCGGAAATGAGATACCTGAGAAAGGTGGTCCAAGTGACAAGAAGGGACAAAGTCCGCAATCAGACAATACGTCAAGATCTTGATACCCAGCCCTTACTAACCCGAGTAGATCAGTCACAGTTACGATGGTTTGGACATGTATGCAGAATGGGAGAAAATCGGCCACCATGGCAAGCATGGGAGGCTAAGAACCAGGGAACCAGACCTCCGGGACGACCCAGGGTGCGCTGGAAAGACAACATCCGACAGTCCCTAACTGACAGAGGACTGGAATGGAACAAAGCCAGAAAGAAAACTGCGGATAGAGACGTCTGGCAATCTCTCTGGCAAATCTCTACACCCTAAGGTAGAAGAGGAGCGACTAAGTAAAGTAAAGTATGTTTTGAAGTGCAAAAAAATCTAGTAATATATCAGAAATTCTTTGAAAGAGAGCATACACCTAGAATATAGGAGTTTTCGTGTTGTAGCTAACACTGTCACTACTGGTCGGTGTAGGCAGGAGGGTCATGAATCCTGGAGATTTAGTGTTGCATGGCTAGGGCTGTTGCCACGGACTGTGCAGGTTAGGATGTTTAATTTTGCCCTGACACGAAAAACGTCCTGTGAAATGTCCTGGTAGTTAAAAGTGGTCTGCACAAAGTTGACCACATCACTTGTTAAGTGCAAGTAGTCTTTAGCCATATACTCCGTGGTATATCAAAGGTTCTTTACGGAGGTAACTTTACCAGCCTAGCTTATTCCCAGAAGTGCACATGTACTGTGCCAAGTCAATGACCTGCTTACATTTTCTTATCCTTCCTTGCAGGGGTGACAGCGGTGGAATCAGAAAGTGCGCAGTAATAATAAAAACTATTATTATTATAAATTTTGTTTGGAACTGCAAATGAATCTAGTAATATATCAGAAATACTTTGAAAGAGAGCGTACATACACTTAGCCTACTTGCACATTTTCTAGGGGGAGGGGATCAGCACATTAACGGGAGGGGAAGAGGGCACTTAGCCTGAACTCTAAGATTCTAGTCCTCCTGCTCCCATCTCAACCCAACAACGTCTCTGTCCATTGCAAACGCCACATCTTTTGTATTTTCAGACAAATAATTCCATTGAAATACTAACTGGCTAAATATGGGATCTATCTGGGAGATGAAGGCAGTCACTGCAGTCTTCTGCTAGCTTAAAAACCAGCTCTGCACACATGCCATTGTTGTAACTGACTAGCAGAACATGTTAAGAAAGATGAAGACATATATGCTCTGTGCAGAGTGGCTAGCATCGCTTCAGAAGTCCCTGGAAGATAGCGTCCTTTGGATATTTTCTTTAGGTCATGCCGATGTGTTGGGAAATGAACAGGCGATAGACTGGAACAGTGCAGAGATAAATAGATCATTATTGTCTGAGGAGAATGGTGCTGTGAGAAGTGACCGGAGGATCCAGCCGATGCTCACAACTAAAGGGACAGGTAAGACAGATATACAATCAAACTCTCAACTGGTACAATTGGAGTTGGAACTTTGCACTTGCTGCCGAAGATCGGGATGAAACACTTATGGGAATGTCCCAAGTACTGTGATGTTATTCTTGATTCAGCATTCATTCTGGGATCTTCCCACTGCATTCAGAATGCATGACTGAAACACATGGAAAAAATTCAGAGTGTCCCCCCCCCCCCCCCCCCCCCCCCCATTTTGAATTTATTGCAGATATGTATGCTTAGTCTATTGTGTTCAATTCTTAGTTAAAAAATTAATGTCTGTTGCTTACCTGAGTCAGCGTATAAATTATAAAAAGTGAACTTCAGTATACATTACCCATTAATTTGTTTCTTTTTTATATGTTTGCAGATTTTGTAAAAGACAACAACGATTTGTCAGAAAGCAAGACATGACCACTTGAACAGTCCAGGCCAAGTTTACGTCAACAAATTTTTACTGAAAAGAAGCACTGTTGCACACTAATTATTTATATCAGAGAATACAATTTGATCAGACTAAAAATTCAAAATGTCTGATTTTGACATAGTTGCCTTCAGTGATGGCACTAAAGGCCTCATTGTCTGCTTCATTATCACCATTCTCCTGGCAAACTTCTACTTGATTTATGTGACAGTCCGAAAAGGTGGCTTCTTCTACAGGGCCAAGAGTCTCACAATGATATCCATGGCCATTGGAGACATATTTTTGGCTTTGTTCCCCCTGATTGTCCTGGCAAGAGCCATCTTTGAAGGACCAGAGCTGAGTCTGCCTTGCAGTACCACTAGAGCTTCAACCGTGTATCTGAAATTTCTCATACATTTCGTCTATGGTTTTGGACTGATCACTTTAGCAGTTGAACTTGTACATCGATACAAAACTCAACAGAAGCAGGAGAAGACAACAAGGAATATTATCCAGTCTGTAATTTACAGTGCTGTGCCATGGCTTTTAGGCCTGATTGTTGTACTTCCCGTAACTTTGGCCAACCTTCGAGGACCTTACTCAGATGCTGAACAGCCAGGACCATATGCAATATTAACACCGTTTTTACTACGCTGCTTTGACGGACTCACGAAGAAGAAGGGATTGTCAATGTACGGTGTATGTGTGCTACTGCCTGCTCCTCTAGCTGTTGTCGTATGCATTATCATGATGTGTATCAGAATACTGCCCGCTTACTACACGGCTCCCGCTGTCGTTACCTACCCAAATCAAGCACAAACTATGATTGTAACCTCACAAAACACCAACACAGGAAATGCTATCAGTCCTCAATATCCAGTGAGCAATGCCGTAGGAGTACAACAGTATCCTATTTCTAACCCTCAAGGGGTACAACAGTATCCCTATGCCAGCCCTCAAGGACCACAACAGTATCCCATTGCCAATCCTCAAGGAACACAACTGTATCCAGCTAACGGTGTGATGGAGACAGCTCAGATTCCAACAGCACCATCTAATGACAAACACAACCCTAATTTAGGAGAATCGGTACCAACACCTCCTGCCACACAGTACCCAGTGCAACAGTATCCCCCACCAGCATACCCTGCTCAAGAATATCTCCCACCACAGTACCCCCCACCACAATATGTCCTGCAGCAATACCCCCCACCCTATTACGCTGTAGGGCAACAGTACACCACACAGTCGAATGTGATTGTTGCTGCTCCAGCTTATATAGTTCAAGCGGGACCCACTTTGGCAGATCCAGGCAGAGAAAAGAATGCTCTCCTTGTGGTTTCCATTGTTCATGCTATCTGTGTTATTCCTTTCGCTATCTTTTCCATGGGATCTTTGGACTCCAACTACTCCTATGAAACTGTTAGTATCATAATTGATGCTACTTTTTTCTGGTTGGCTGTTTTCAGATCCCTTATAACCCCACTTATTTTTATCAGATTTAATAAAGGGCTGAAAAACTGATTCAACTTTAGGTTTCAAATGTTTTGAATGAGGTGAGGGCTTGAAGATAACTTATCACAAACATCAGAAAGAGACTGCCATAATTTTTTTTTGTCATGTTATGAGAAGAAGGAAACTGGAACATGTTTTTGACCACTGGAAAAAGAGACAGAGGAAGACATTGCGAGATCATTCCTGACAGTCTTTTGTCATAGAATAGAGTGGTTGTCGACACATAAACTGATACATGTTGCTGAAGATTTCAGATTGTGAAGAGGCATGATCACTTGTGCCGGTCGATAAGGCCCTTGATGATGATGATGAATCCGCAGGAATCTAAGAAGTTTTCAGAATTTGTTTTGGAACTACACTTTTCGCCCTACTGAATTGAAATTTTAATTTTAAAATCAACTGTGCTGTCTGTTTATTTATCATCAAATTTATATTATGACATCTGTTAACTGGAAAGGCAGAGAGAGATGTTAAACTGTCTGGCATCATGATATGGAAGAACATTATCAGAAATGATTGACATTACAGGAGACAGAAGGATGTGGACGGACATGATTGCCAACACCACGCTGCTTGGACTAGAAGAAGAAAATGAAGACATAATATTTACATTATTTTGTTCGATTCATATTTCGCCACCCTTCCATGTTAAACATCCAGTGTTATTTCAATGTTTTCTGACCTGTTAAGCTGTATGTATACATATGCATCAGTAGCAAGGCATGATCAATTTGCATGTGTAAGTGTTATATTGGAGAAAGTGTCATGTGATATTTTCCTCTTCATCACTTTGCTGTTGAGAGTATACATGAACAGGTACCTCATAGTACTGATGTTTGTTTGTTTTAGTATCCAGAAGCCATGAGTTGTTAATCCTTAGGCTCGGTATTATGGATATCACAACATTTCGGCCTTGATTCCATTGTAAATACCATAAATCTAGGGGAGAAATGTGGCTTCACTGATAAATGGTGGCTTTTACATATTGCAGTTTCTGTGTGAGTGGCATAAGCACGCAGTGAGCAATCTTTTCACTATGTTCAAGATGAAACAGAGTGCTGTATTTGTAATAAATAGTCAACATTAATAATAAATAGTAAAATAATATTGCACTGGAAAGTGTAAGCATCGATTATGGCCATCACATGCACAACTCGCCACTGTAAGTCTTTCCAATGATTTGTCTTGATCTTTCTACATATTTGTTTAGCAAGATTTCTTGTGCCTTTTTGTAACCGTTGACTGCTTCTGTATGTATTGTATTTTATTCTCTCTTATCTTGCATTTTCTATTTTCATTCAAGAGTCATCTGCAGAATTTCGTCTGTCATTGATTTTTTAAATTTTACAATTCTATGATTTCTGTTAATGTTTGTTATATTGATTTATGCAACGTAGTTCACTGTTCATTAAAAGTCTTGTCTAACCTTTTGTGTCATTATATATGTTTTGTACAGTAACAATGTACTGTTTTTAGTTTTAAGCTTTATATTATAAAAAATCCTTTGTCTCATATTGCTGTCTGTTGACTCAAAATAATGCCATACCATATCCTTTTGTGTTACTGTTTTTTGTGTGTTTTGTGTGTGTGTGTGTGTGTGTGGTAAATAATGATATATTTATGTACATATGTTTCTCTGGTGCCTGGCAGTTGCTTTTTCCATTGGTATTCATTTGACCTGTTTCACCTGTAATGTTTTGCAGCTTTCTATGATGAGTGTGTATTCTGACATTCCATCTGCCAGTGTGTACAATATTTTAACATTCCATTTGCTGTCTTTATTGCCTGTACTGCTTTTACACTGCATGGTCTGCATGGTCCATAGTGATAGCACTAGCCATACGGCCTGAAATCCCCCTACACCGCAAAAATGTATATATACAAATATGTTTGCAGGTAAGATTTCAATCAAGAAAGATTTCTGGGGATAAACAAATTTTTACAGCCGAAATTTCCCACATCTAAGATTGTCTTAACTGGTCAGCACTATATATATGTGTTGTGTGTGTTTATATATATATATATATATATATATATATATACATACACACACACACACATATGTAAATATATGTATGTGTATATACATATGTCTGTATATATATGTGTGTGTGTATGTATATATTCACACGCATACATACATACATACATACATACACACATACATACATAATACATACATACATACATACATACATACGTATATATATACATATATACATACACACATAACACACATTCATACATACATATGCATGCAAACATACATACATATATACATTCATTCATACATACATACACATATCAGCATCTGTTGTTTAAGCGATGCAAACATGCTTTATAAGTCTGATGTACCCAGTCTGCTTCCAGTTTGGGGCAGTTTGACAGCAGACTGCCCTACAATAATTTCGACAATGGTATACAGAAACGACCTTTAAGTCAGCAGTGGCAAACTAATGAATGTAAAATTGGCCTAATGAAACCCGACAGCCAAAAACATGTGTGGGTTCGTTCTGCAACATCCTATAAAAATATATGTATGTATGCATATATACATACATATACACACATATTGTAAGAATATATCTGGCTTTTTTCCTAGGTTCATGGCATACCCACTCTTCAGTTTAAAAAAATTATGTGTTCTAATGTGACTTTTTTTCTTCAAAAACCATTAAATGTTGTAGTAAAAAGCTGTGTGTGTTTGTATATATATTTAAACATAAAAAAATCATTTGGGGTGACTATTACATATATATCCATCTGTTCTAAATGAGTAAATGTTTTTTACTGTTGTGCCACAGTTCAATCTAAATCTAGTGACTTAAATTTGCTTGAACAGCTTTGGGGAGATAGAGGGCTAATATTTAAAGCATGGAAGCCAGACAGTAGAACTGTGCCCGACATTTCTCAACTTTGATATTGTGGACACTGTCTGGCCCCACTATACAAAGGATCGCCACTTTTGAGATGGGATGTCTGAGAGGGGCCGCCAGCCTGGCTGTCCAATAATAATGATACTGTTAGGCAAACTGTGGGAGCGACACCTTGTGCTCGATTTGTCGAGAGGCAGTGGATCGAGTGGTTTGGCGATCTCGTTGGAGTGCAGCAGCATCAGGAGCCGTCACAGGCACTACATCTCGGGGCAGGAGAATAGCCATGGAAACAGCGGACCGACAGCATTAGGGTCATTCTACGCATTCATGGTGTGACAATAGCCAGTGACAGCCAGCATGCACTGGATTGCACATTTTTCCTCACCAGTAGGGTTTTTGTTCAGCTTAGCTGGGGTTTTCAAAAAAATCCCATTGGCAGCAGGGTTGCCATATTGGCATTTTTTATGCAATATTCCACAAATTTGGCATATTTGAAATTGAACTGACATAAGATAATGAACTGGCATTTTTTTTTGGGCATATTTGAGTTTTTCCTGGCTTCTCTTATCAAGATGTGCTCATATTTTCTTCATGGTTCTTTCCTTAGAAACACGCAGATTTACTAAAAGCAATGTAAACCTACAGTTATCATCTTTATTTGTTTCACTTTGTTGTGATGTTCTGGTACAGACTAACGGAGATTTGCGCCATTTCTAATTGTATTTGTCGTTCTCCTAAACGGATCGTGACTTCGATAAACCAAGGCCCTCTGTAATTTATGTTAATAAATGCTGGATATAAAACGAAAACCCACCACTGTTACCAAGTGATTCACACTGTTCAGAAACTACTTGAGGACAGAAAATAGAGAGGATATAGACCAAGTTCTATCTGTGATAGATTTTATAACTTTTACCAATGGCCACATCATCCAAAAAATGGAAAGCATCTTATAACATCGCAAGTATAATAATAACTGGAAAAAAACATACCCACTGCTCAAAAGATCTCCAGACGGATCAGAGGCAACATATTGCAAACTGTGTCAGTGCACTGTTGCACAAAGAATTATTAGCATATCAAATCATTTTTTTTTAAATCCGAAAAGCAGGATAAAAACTCCGTCAAAAAGCCAGTCACAGCTTATTACAACAATGACTCCTAGGCAAAGTAATGATAAAGTTAAGACAACAGTTGCAACTTGCTGTAAGCATGACCTGACAATGCACCTGCAATACGCATCAATCTAAGTGAAATTATGACATCGCTTGGTCGGGGGAGTACATTGGAGCACATACGGTTGCATAGAACTAAATATTCATGCCTTAAAAAAAAAAATATATCGCCTGCACTAAAGGATGACCGGGTTCGATCCTAGCTGCGGGTCATGCGCCTTGCGTTGGTTTTGACAGTGGTATCAAGAAAGCCGACAGTCCAGTAAGCACTGGCAAACTACTGGACGTAAATTTGCCTAGAAAAACTACACAACAGGCAGGGTCTCTTGGGGTTGGTTCTGCAACGTCCTGTTAAGGATACGCAACTAACCTTAAGGATGACCTTATTGATTGATGATTTTCGGACCAAGAAATATGCCGTCATTATAAATGAGTTGCAAAGACTTCACGCCATCTAAGAAAATGCTTAAAGATTTTACATCCGAAAAGGTTAACGCCGTGTCTTCCACTTGACCAGTGACGACGACGGTGAAGAATTCAATCTAGAGCTTTTGATGTGAAGTGAGTATAATGTTACATTTCATTTGGCATTTTCTGGCATATTTTGGGTCAGAGTTAAAATGAAGGTTTTTTTTTATCTGGCAATCCTGATTGGCAGGCCTGCTGTGTTGTCCTGGTGTGGTTCTTCTGCAATGTTGCCAATTTGAATGTTTTACATTCAGATTTAGCTGTTTTCCCTTGCATTTGGATTGCGTTTTTGACGTTTAGATGGTAGATATTTGTATGGATTATTTCATTTGGTGTGAATTTATCAAATCTAACCTAAGAAACAGGATGAAATTTGACCTCTTAAATGCTATCTTGACAATAAAATTCGGCCTGATAAGAGTAGGAAAAGGCTGTTCCACTTATCAGCTCCCTGATTGGGTATTAAAAGAAATTGGAACAGCTTAAGCAT